AGTCATGACTCCTTTACCACTGTCCCCTCCAGCTGTCTGAATCTTATTATCTGTTCTTCACTGCTGGTTCTTTGCCCCAGTCTCCACTCCCCATGCCTTTACATCCCATGCTGGGCTCTCCATTTACAGCTTTCCTCCACTATTTCCAGTTCCAGGGTTTTTTTCAGCTGCTAATCTGAGTCTTTTACTCTTCTGTTTTCTTATCCCCATATCCCCATTACCTTTACCCAACCAGTTCCAGGTCCCCTTGCAAGAAACTTTTCTGGTCTGTCCCTTACCTTGGCTCCAGTCAAGCCCAAACCCACATGCCCCATCCTCACTGCCCTCCCATCTCACTCAGTTCAAAAGTACATCTGTCAGTCCTAATGTGTCCGCAGCATAGCACCTTCTTTAAGTGTCCCCGAGTTCCAGCTTTTTTTCTTCTCCCCAACAGCCTCTATGTCCCTTCTCATCTGTGCTAAACTTCTCACAGTGTCTCCCCAACTAAGATTTAGCTCTTGTTCTCTTTATATTTAAGTCAAGCACCTTTCACCTGCATGTTATCTGAGCCTAGCAGCTATTGCACTAAAAGTAAAAAAACAAACAAACTCCTTATTTTCACTTGCTTTATCAAGATCCACCACAGCATGCAGCAGCCCAGAGCTACAACTGCAGTGTGTCCTATTCAGTCCTACCCTGGAGCATACTCAGTGAACACAAAACCTTTGCGTAGTTGAGCTGTTAACTCTACAGAAGTTCTGTCTTTTCACATTTGAGGGGTACCCCTTGGAAAATGCCAGCTCCCAGTTTTCATGTGTTTTTTGACTACAGAAAAATAATAGAGCAGTTTTTCTGTTACAAAAAAACTTGGAAAGACCACAGCAGGTCAGAATGACTTTAATACTATGGACTCCTTTTTGAAAACTCTGGGTTTATCTTGTGAATCATATTTGCCCATCTAACAGTTCTAACATTGTGTGGCACCTTGTGGCACCCTTAAAAAGATCTCAAGGAACCCCAAGGTGCTGCAGCACCTTGGTTGAGAATTACTGCTCTACAGTTTCTGCTGAGAATATGTGAAATGTGTTTTTCTTTGTCAAAAACTTAATAACTTGTATACATTTGAATGAGGTTTCATGGGAATAGTGAAGGCTTATCCTTGACATAAAGGTCACCCTCTGACAAACTTCAAATCTCTGCTCCTAAGCAAAAAATTGCCTGCATGGTGCTTACCAAAGAAAAGATTACCAGAATTTTTGATATGGCCAGAACAACTTTGTTTTCCCTAGTCTTGTTCTGGAAATGACTGGAGCACTTCACCTGAAAAAATCCCCTAAAAACCAAGAACAGTCTTATATAGACACCCAGCATGAAGAATTGTACCCCAGAACAGTTAAAGTTTGTTAGATCTAAGCACATCTATGCATGCAACCTTATTGGCAGGCAGTTTCTGTCTATCATATAATTTTCTTCTGCAGTGATTTTTATTACTTCAGGTAGAAAATACCAATAATTGCAGGCCTTTGCTTTGGCCTAGAACAACTGCGCATCAGTTTGAGAAATCTATTTTGCTTACTGATGCACTTCATTTGGGCAATGACATTTCCTAGATTGGAGTCAAGCAAACTGAGGCTTCTGTGTGTTTGGAGTAAGTGTATTTAATGGTCTGTAATAGTTCAGACCTGATGTTTCAATTGTAAAGCATGCCAAGTAAAGAATAGTAAAGAGGCCAGAGACTGGTATGCATGCAAGAAAGGCAGTCAGTGAAGATGTAAATTGAGGAGTCAGTGTGTGAGAGAGAAGCTAGGGGGAAGGGGAATGAAAGTAGCAGGTAAATAATGGAGAGGTACCTGGGGAATCAGATATCAGGCAGGTTATACTGTATCATAAATCCAATGTTTTTATTTAGTCCATGATTAGTCCAGGAGATTTATGAAGTGAAGTTCATAGGCTCATCTTTGAAAAGTGTTTTGTAAATTCCCTTTCAGGATTAGAACTGAGAGATTGGAGAGAGTGGTTTTACTTGTGAGAAATGTGCCCCCGCCGGTAATAGGCTGTTCCTGGGTTTGATAAATTTCCTATGTGCATTCATTCTCGTGCGCAGTTGTTGTTTGGTCTCTCCTGTGTATTTTCCATCAGGGCATTTGGTGCATTGGATGAGAGATGTATTATATTTCTGGAGGTGCCGCTGTAGGATCCAGGAATTATGATGGTTCTGTTGTGGGGTATAGTAATTGTGGGTGTGGTGGAGATGTGTTGGCAGGTTTTGCATTTCTTGTCCTGGCATGGTCTGGATCCATTCAGTGTGTTTTGGACTTGAGGAAGTTTGCTTCTGGTGTTTGCAAGGTTCGATGCATATTTAAAGGAAAAACTCATTCTAGCCATTAATCCCCCCACACCCCAGCCTCTCTCACCCACTGACTGCTCAATTTACATCTTCACTGACTGCCTTTCTTGTAAGCAGACCAGCCTCTGGCTTCGTTACTATTCATTCTATCCAGGACTATTCATCATGAATTAAGAGCAACATAATCTGACACATTTTTTTCTTTCTTTTAAAACGGTGATTCTTTCCACTAATCTTATCTTGGCAGTTTGACTGAGGAAGTTTTGGCTTGGTTTGTTTTTTGCACTAGATAGCAGAATCTGGAAAAATTTCCTAGCATTTCCTAAAAATATTATGAAATGTTAAAATCAGGTTTGCTTCCCCCCATCTTCTGCTTTAATTGAATCTACAAGAGACCCAGAAAATGTTCTGTCAGTGTATTTAGGACTCAATGCCTGTCTGAATTATATGACTTGCTCAGAAGCATCGTACTCTATCACTTGCAGCTGTTGGCAAAGTTAGTATTTTGACAAACTTGCGCAGAAGCTTTTAAATACATACGTCAATAGGTCTCAAAAGAACTTGTCATGTTTTATGTTTCTCTGTAACACAAGTTGCACAAAATCTGATTAGAGTTGTTTGTAGGTTATTGCTGACTAAAGTTTGTTGGCAAGATTTCTCCATTATTTAAAACAACAAGTCTAAATAATACATTTCTGAGCAACTTTCTATATTCTTAAATTGTTATTACTGTTTTAAAAAATGGAATGAGTGAAAAAATAATATTGTAACCAAAATGTAAGAGCTATAATTTTGAAATACTATTTTAAATAATTTATCTATTTTTGTTAGAGTATTTTTACAGATGCAGAACAAGTTGTCTATCAATGAGAATTCTGTTTATAACCATGTCCCAAAATGCATATAATTTTCTCACAAGATATGACAAAATATGTACCCCTTTACACATATCATTCACTTCCATTTTCTAAACCAATGTAGTTTGTTGTTCACTGTTAGACTCTGGCTGCAGTGGTGAATAAATGATTCCCATAGATTCCATATGATATATAAGATATTACCATTATAATACAAGATTGTATATGCGGTATAAAATAGAATGCAATGCTTTATGATAAAACCAACAAATGGTATATCTGACCATGCAAGAACCTAAGGTTGTTTCAATTGTAAGAACAGGTATGCTGAATTCCCTTTATTTTGTATTTTTTTTTTAGTTGGGTGTATGGTTTTCTTTGGGCTGTGCCTACTTAGCTTTGGAAGACTATGAAGGTGCTGCCAGAGCATTTCAGCGTTGCGTGACATTGGAACCTGACGTATGTATTATTTATCAAAGATTGTATTCACTCTCTACTCATGTAACAGTTTATCTGAAAGCAAGAAGGATGTCTATTACCAAGAAATATTTTGGTCTATTCCTTTACCCTGTGAGTAAAGCAGATGTGTTAAAAAATGTCTTCAGCTGCATCTGCTGCTTTTAACCAGTTTTTCTGTGAAATTGGTATGCTACTCTCCATTAGAATCATTCATTAAAGAAATGGTAGAGAGTTGGCCTTTGTCATGGTACTTAAACATGAAGCTATAGTTAGTTCATGAGCACCAGAGGCATTTATTATTCATTTTACAGGCATGCATCAAACCAGCACATGTCCAGCACTGCAAAGTGAGCAAGCTTAAAAAAGGCAGGATGACAGCTGGATACCCCTTTTAAAGTACATGTGTATTTGATGAAGGTGAAGATGCTTACAACCTTACAGGAATTGTGATGGCAGCCATCAATCCTCCTGGATCATGGTGTATGCATGAAGGACACCCAGACCTTTGATGCATATGTCTGGGCATGAATTTTTGGAGGAGTGGAGACTTTCCATCCTCTCTTTAGGCCACTGAGACAGAAGCTACAGACCAGACTGAGTCCAGATGTTTGGTGCCTTTACGCCTGTAGTTATATGTGTCTGGGAATCAAACCTAGGTCTTCTGTGTGGTAGACAGGGCTTCTACCACTGAACCACAGGGGACTCCACCTCACAAGAATATTGTTTAAAAAAACAACAAGAAAAATAAGCAATAATCCAGCCTGGTTGTGCATAGTCTTTTACAGATGAATATGAATTGTTAAAATACAGTGAATGACTTCCAACATTTATGGAAGCTATGGGAATTTATACACCTACTTTTTTTCCTGTGACATGCTGGAGATCCGATTAATTGAGTCTGCTCCACACATGAGCTGAGCTGAACTGCACTGTACTGTGTGCAGTTGTATAAGCAGCGAAATGCACATTAGCAGGCAGAAAATGGCAGTGGGGTACTTTTGAACTAAAGCACCTCTGAGGTGTTTTAGTTCAAAAGTGCGCCATTGCAATTTTGTCAGCACTGACGCACATTTTGCCACTTATACAACTGTAAGCATTGCAGCGTCAGGTGCTTCTCAAAGCGCCCAGCATTGCAGCACTTGCATGTGTAAAAATGCCTGATGTTCTTTGTTTTCTGATATAGCTTAGTCCTGTCCACATTCACATGAGCAGGGAGGGTGACTTCCCAGTGACTTAAATATGCATTTAATATGTGGGTAAACAACGCAGAATTAGGCTTTTAGTTACAGCAGATGAAATGTCTTGTGCAGAAATCTACCACAGGGTCTATGCACCACTTTTAAGCCTCGTAAAATGTTCCACAACACATCTTACATGGGACTTAACTTCTCTGTAGGCCTGATGCTACCACATACTGCAGGGGTAATTTTCACTAAAGTATTCTGGATCTGTTCTTCCACTGAGTTTATACCAGTTATCCATCCTCTGACCTTGGTGGCCTTACCCCAAATTTGCATATACATAAATGTAGCTCAGCATGTCAATCCAGAGCAGAAATTATTTTAACATTTCTATTATAAAAATACCTGTTTGCGAAGCATGTTTTACAATTTTGATATTATTACCATCTCAGTATTTACTATATTGTGAATGTGCATTTATTAATGCATGTACATGTGTGTGATGAGCAAAATGGATAGTGTCAACTGATTTTATAATAGTTTCATTCAAATGATTTTTCCTAAATAAGTGGATTTTTTTTTAACCATCTCCCATGTTGTGATTGCAGAATGCTGAGGCCTGGAACAATTTATCAACTGCGTATATCAGATTAAAACAGAAGTAAGTACTTCAAAGGGATTAGAGAAAACTGGTTCCAAAATAAATACTTCTGATTTCCTTTCCTCCAGCACTGAACATATTATTCTTATGATGTGGTTTACTCATTAATGCTAGTTCTTTTCCTTTCAGTCCAGTCTCCCTCATGGTCTCCTACAATGATACCAATTAGAAGTCAATCACATTTCATTTACAGAAAATATATTTTAATATTCTTTGTAAAGAAAGCAGTTATTTGAACCCAAAGTTGTTAAATGCTTTAATTCATCACTCATGATATTCTAAGTAAAGACCAATCAAAATTACTCATATAAAAATTGGAAACTAATTGGAATGAAGCCAAAAAAGACCTGTCCATTTTAAAAACAGACTATATATTCAACCATATATTGATTCATGCTATATTCATCTCAGGAGATTTGTGGGAAAAACAAGCAGTTTATTATTCACATCATGAAAGCAGATGTAGATCCACTTACATAATGGTCTGCTTGTTCTTTTCCTTCCAAATTAACCATTAATATAAGAAGACCTAACTAAAGACAGCTTATTAATTAATTTTGTTTCTGGAGTCATTATTGAATTAATCCTCTTGATAGCTATACCTTTTCAATAACACAATTTTTGCAAGTGCTAAGTATTTAAGAACAATATTACTAAGATAATACTCTATACTTGGACTTGTCTCTGTTTATCTTATACCAAAAAGAAGGAAACTTGAGAACAAAAAGTATCAAAATCAATGTATTGAAACTGGCTATGTTCCATTTTAAAATCTGATACAAATCTAATACAAGTAAAATTGTATTTGTGTAAAAGTTTAGGAAACAAACTAAAGAGGAGACAAAGAAACAGTGAGTTCACACTAAATGGTAAACGCATAAAATAAATTGTAAAGAAATACATTGTAGATGAGGAGATAGAAAGAAAAGACTGAAGGACAGAATGACTACTCAGGCTGAAAAGAGGAATAGAAATAAACATAGAGACCCAGCTTGCTTGACTAAGTGTCCTGTGCAGCAGTTCCTTGCATCTCCATGGAAATGTCCTGAAGGAGCTTCACAATCGATTACAAAAATCAGAGAGATTAAATTAGACAATATCTCATTTATTCATTTTCCCCATTGCATTCAGAAAAATAAAACCCATTCTTTGTCAAGGTGATAATAATACAGTCACTCAGATTTCACTGTTTTCAGTGTTTTCTCTTCCCATCTGACTGATTAACTCTCACTTCCCAACTTCTAAAAGTATGCTGGGGCACTTCATACCAGACACACCCTCTTTATATCCCACCATTTAGAACTGTTATTAACCAAAATGACACTTTCTCTGTCCATTCACAGCATAGAGTATAAGCAGTATTAAGAAATCAGTTCTACTTTTTTTTTTTACTTCATTATTATGGCTCCACTTTTGTGATGATATCAGAGAAACACATAAGAAAAATTGTGAAATGTTTGATGCCTGTAAAAAAACTAAGAAGTGTTGGATAAGATTTTTATTCTTCAAGCATTTGTCCAGTTGCTGTGGGTCATTCTGTGTTTCCCATACATGTGAGCCTGGAATCTTTTAATCAGTGTATATTTTGGAAACAGAGCCCAACATCCTCACATTCTCCTTACCTGCTGTGAGGACACAATGGGCTGAATTAGCTTCAACTCCCAGTCATTTCTTTCTTATTGCAAGAGCAACAAGACACAGCTACAAAGTGTCCGTGGGTCTCTTCCCTGTGTTTTAAACTGTTAGGAAATGATTTTACAATTGAGGCTTATGTGTGCAAGAAACAGCTCGCTTTAGGTCTGGCAAAGTAGCTCTTCCACACTAATTATCCATGTGAATACTGATTCTGCTCCGAGTGCATTTGTGCAGCTTCAGAATTGTAATTGTTGCACTATGACCTTAAGTTCTACCTTATTCTAGTAGTTACATTTGTGTATGTTTTTGTAAGTTTTTTATATCATTTTAAAGAGCCAGTGGACAAAAAGAAAATTAAAAATTAAATTGGGAGAAGAAGATGGCAGGAATCTTAGAGTTGCTTCTTGAAGTTGTTCAAGAATAGTCTCAAACAGTTTCTAAAGGCTGCAAGGGAACAGATCATACATATCAAATGTCTTGAAGGAGATTTGAGTAGTTCTTTTCACACCTGGCCTTTGCATCTACTACAGCTGTTGCAGCTTCTTGTAAAAAATCCACACAGGTTTGTCTGCATTTAACATATTGTTTAGAGAAAGGAACCACATAAAATATGTTCTTGTAGGCAGTATATAGATACACCATTAAGATAAATATTAATAAATATGGATAAATATTATCAAGCTCTACTGGCTAAATATAACTTTCTACAGTGGAAGATTATGCAACAAAGAAACTCCCTCAAAATGTTAGGGATGAAGTAAATGCTGGTGCCTGAAAAGGCCAGTTGTTGGCAAAGCTGTATAGTCAGCATCTTTAGATGCTTCCAGCACTGTTGTTAGAACAGTAGCTACAGCATGAACTATGTATAGGACATAATGGTTGTACTTCTTGGAAACTGCAAAAAGAAATCTTAGACAACCGTGGAGGGTCACAAATTGTAGTCAGAAGATTTTGAATTTCAGTGACCCTTTGCTTTTTTGGCCTGTATGCCATTCCAGAAGGGAAGTATTCAAAGCCTCCATCTTTCTCTAGGCAAAAGACTCCAGTGTCCTGACATCAGTGTCTTGAAAAAGCTTCCAGCTCTTAGAAGAAAAAGACTTGCTTTTAGAAGCAGAGTGCCCTGCCCACACCTTGTTCGTAGGCACAAACCACTAATCATTAGGTTAGGGACCAGATATTATGTTTCTTTTAGCAAGCTTTTCTTTTTTCAGAAGCAGTTATAAGCAACTAGAGGGAGTTGGAAGTTATTCAGCAAGAATATTCAATCTAAACTAATTTGTCTAATCCCAAACTTCCCTTAGTCTTTCCCATTTGAGGGATCTCTCATGACAGTGTTAAAGGTGGACAAAGACCTCCTCTTTCTTTTAGCTATTTTTTATCAGTGGGATAAATTTCACAGATTTCATAGACATTCACGGTGGAAGGGACCCCATAGGATCATTGAGTCCAGCCCCCTGCTCAGGGGCAGGAAGTCAGGGATCATAGGATCCCGGCAACATGAACATCCAAAAG